CCTCTCCATTCCAACAGGGCCATGTATCGAGAGTGGTAAGTCTCCATAACGAGTGTCGTCATGATTTCCAGCATGAGAATCATCTTGACCGCATGACTTTTGCTCACTAACCCCCCTGGAAATGACCTGTGTGCTTGTTTGTGTGCGTGTGTGTGTGTGTAAGACTTTTGTGCTTTATTGGGCTATTCCGTTTTCCTTCCCTTGATTGAGATGGACTCATAATTTATTGCTCTTGTCTGCATGTGCATGTGTGTGAAGAGAAATATTCAACATGCCCCCCTCCCCCCTTCCCAAAGTAATTATTGATCCTGGGGAAACACATTTAGTGCCATCTGCTGGACTCAAACAGGTGTAATCAATAATCATCATCAAAAAAAAAAAATCTTTTCTCAGTATTATGAGATGCTTCTTTTCGCCTTGTTACTCGACTTCCATGCATCAAATTTAATTTTGTCTCCAAACAACCAAATGATGCAGTTGAATCATTTGCAGCTTCTAATTCCGGTTTGAAGCTGTTCGAGCTGTGTGTCCTCTAGATTGCATTAAAACTAAGCTTAATCAATATTGTTAAGCATATTGTGCCTCCCGTGTTCTCTTGCATTAGTCATCATCAGCATATCTGCATATGTGATGATGTTACACATCATTGGGTCATGTAATCCACATGATAAAGACGTGTTACATGAACGTGGGGAGAAATGTTTTCTTTTTAGGTGTAACTGTAAACCTGTGATGGTCTTTCATTCTTCATATATTGTTGGTTTTTATTCTCAAACGCTATCTGCTGTCTCTGACTCTTCTCTTCAGGGGTAAAACTAATTACATCAACCTCGGCTCCTTCCTCATCAAGCCCGTGCAGCGGGTGATGCGTTACCCGCTGCTGCTGATGGAGCTGCTTGGGGCCACACCGGAGAGCCACCACGACCGGCCCCAGCTGACTCAGGCTCTGCTGGCCATCAAGGAGATCAACGTCAACATCAACGAGTACAAACGCAGGAAGGACCTCGGTAAAGATCACTGTGTTTTGTGTTCGCTGCATACGAACGGCGTGAACATGCATCTTGTTGTATGTTTGACTGTGGGAGTCTTTTAAAGACTTATGTCTCCCCCTGGTGTCCACAGTGGTGAAGTACAGAAAAGGGGACGAGGACACGTTCATTGACAAGATCTCGAAGCTGAGCATGCACTCCATCATCAAAAAATCCAACCGAGTCAGCAGCCACCTCAAGCACCTCACAGGAATTTCACCTCAGGTACGTTGAGGATGTTCTTAAACAAAGTCAAAGGTCACGACTTTCTCTTCGCTGTCGGCTCTGACCTCTGACCTCTGTGGTTTTCCCAGATTAAAGACGAAGCGTTCGACGAGGCTGAGAAGAGATTCAGGCTGCAGGAGAGGCTCATCAAGTCTTTCATTAGGGACATTTCTCTGTACCTGCAACACATCAGGGTAGGAACCCATTACCATGATCACAGAAAAGATCATATTACACCTATTTTCCAGTCACTGTATTTGTACATGTTTTGGAATAAAGTATTATTGGATTGTAACTTTAAGAGTTTGTCTCTTTAGGAATCTGCATCTGTGAAGGTGTTGGCTGCCATCAGTTTCTGTGACATCTACACAGAACGCAGTGCGCTGGACCCTGAGCGCTTCCAGAGAGCTCACCGCAGCATCAGCGACAAACAGTTCACACAATTTGTAAGTCGTCTGTTAAGCTCCGCTTAGTTTCTGTAAGAGTGCATTGGGAACAACATCTGATTGCCTCACATTATCTGTCTTCCTCCCATCCTCCGAGTAGAAGGAGCGCACCGAGGCCTTGGTCATCAACCCGCTCACCCAGCTGCTCCTCATGTTCACCGGGCCGCACAAGCTCATCCAGAAGCGCTTTGACAAGCTACTGGACTACGACAACTGCAAGGAGCGTGCCGACCGCCTCAAGGACCGGCGTGTCCAGGAGGAGCTGCAGGTGGCGCGCAACAACTACGAGGCGCTCAACGCTCAGCTTCTAGACGAGCTGCCCAAGTTCCACATCGCCGCAGAGGAGCTGTTCACGGGCTGCGTGAGGGCGTTCGCTCAGGCTCAGAAGAACTTCATGAAGACGACTCTGGGAGAGTTGAAGCCCATTCTACAGATTGTGAGTGTGGCTCATTTATGCTTTCTCCCGCGTACCAAAAGAGAGATGTCTGTTTCAAACTGTCTCTGCCCAAATACGTTCATACGTCTGGTGAGGAGATTCTGCTCTGTAGAGCAATTCCCCCTGCAGCTGTTCCTTTCTCATTTTCTTTCTCCTCTTAATGACCTTTCTCCTGTTGCCAAAATCTCCAGTTTTCTAACAAAGTGGGCACGGAGGGCAACCTCATCGCACAGTTCCAAGAAGAGTACAGTCGAGTTCTCCAGCTTCTGCAGCGCTTCAGCTTCTGCCCACAGAACCTGCCTCCAGCCACCGCCACTGCAAAGAAGCCCTTCGAGAAGAAGACGATGGAGAAGCAGACCTCGAAAAAGCAACTGCAGGGACCTGTGAGTTAACGCTGCTCCTTTCTCTGCTGCATCATACTCGAACAGATGATACAGGAGTTTCACCACTAACATGAGATTTTTCGCTTTCAGCCAAATTACATCATGCAGACCGAGGAGCACCGAGCAGGACTTCTGGTGCGCTATGGTCCTGAGAAACTTTTCCAGGCTGAGAGAAACTTTAATGCTGCCCAGGATCTGGATGTCTCCGTACTAGAGGGAGATCTTATAGGTGTGATCAAGCAGCAGGACCCCATGGGTAGCAACAACCGCTGGCTAATAGATAATGGAGGTTGGTAATAAAAAGACCAGATTTAAATATATTTATCCGATCAGCCACACTTTGTTGGGATTATGGTGCAGTAATATTTTATTCCTTGTTTTGCAGTCACCAAAGGTTTTGTGTACAGCTCCTTCCTCAAACCTTACAACCCACGTAGAAGCCAATCAGACGTCTCCATCGAGAGCCAGTCGTCCAATGAGTCGGGCTACGGCGGCTCCTCCCCCGTCTTCTCCCGCCAGAACAGCAGCAGCACGCTGACCTTTAACCAGGAAGCGGCCACCGTCAGCTTTTCCACGCATCCCCAGAGCCAGTCATCGCCACACCCGTCGCTGGACTCGGCCTCATCTCGCAGGAGTCTCCCCAGAGACACACCCAACGCCGACTCCGCCAGTCTGAGCAACTCCATAAACTCCTCCCCCCGAAATCCCTCAAACCGAAGGGAGATTTCAGACCAAACGTACCGGAACTCCCCGAGTCACAGAGACGCGGAGCCTTCGTACCGCCACTCTGGAAACCACAGAGACTCGTACGACGCGGGTACGAGCCGCCGCAAGGAGACGTCGGACCTCTCTGAGACAGACACTTCTACTTCGCACAGAAACAATCAATCACAGCGGTATGGACACACAGACAAATCCTACAGCTCGTACCAGTGGAGAAACGGAGACAGTGGTGGCCAAAAGAAGTCGGGTTACTCCAGAGACGAGTACATCGAGCCAGAGCCGGAACGAGAGGAACCAGAGGAACCAGAGGATGAGAGCGAATTAGACGGTCACCAGGTGAGACTCCTGAGATGTGACATAAACAAAAATTATAAGCTTTTTCGGCAAACTAAATTAGAAATTGTTTTTCCTTTTTCCCCAGATTTACTACGCCCTCTACTCATTCAGCGCCCGTTGTGCCAACGAACTGAGCATCTCGGCCAATCAGCGGCTGCGGATCCTGGAGTTCCAGGATTTGAACGGCAACAGCGAGTGGTGGCTGGGAGAGGCGGGAGGCCAACGAGGCTACGTGCCTTCCAACTACATCCGCAAATCAGAATACACATGAACAAAGTCTTATCGCGTTGACGATAATTGCGACAGCACTTGGAGCCAGTCTGAGAGCAGACAGAACAAAAGCAACGAACAAGCATTGGTTTATTTTCGATCTGTTGTGAGAAGGACTGACTTTGCTGCTGACGCTGCTCCTGAAAGTTAGCATTACACGCCTAATATTTATAGACTGTTTTTTAATTTGCTGGAACCTGCCCCCTCTCATTCCAGTGATAAACCTGTGAATTGCACCAGATTTTTTTTGCCATACACTCTGCAGATGATGACAATGAATTGTATGTGTGAGCGAGCAGACTTTTCGGTGAGCGTATTGGGAGATTTGCAATGGAAATATGAAGGTTTTGGGTTCAGGCTGCTTCTTGTGAACAAACAATGAAGTGATATGCACACAGACTGACCTAAACACTGTGTTAGATACTTTTCTTCTTCATGCGGTTCATTACTGTTCAACAAAGCTGAGGCACTTAATGACTATTATCCACTGGTTGCCAGTTTGAAGTGTCTGGAGTGTTGTATAAAATTATTATTGGGACTATTCGAATCAAGACCAAGGACAAAGTTAATGCATATGAAATACTGTTTACAAGTTTTCCCCTCCGGCTTTTTCAATACGTTATTCAACCCGGTTGACACTGTGTAAACAGGTGATGACCCATTTTTACCTGTTAGAGGACGGACAGGGAGAGAGATTTCTCCACATGCTCCTCTTTATATTATCCATAGTGCTGTACAGTGAAAATATGATATTGCACCCACTGTAAAGTGATCACTGTTTGATTAAAAAAACAGCTCAGCTGACAAATACTGACGACGTCTGGTTTTTCTTCTGCCCATCAGTTTATCACTAATCTCCAGTTTTCTACCAAAGAGGCCGTGGAGTGCCACCACAGTTCCAAGAAGAGCACGGTCATAGTGCTGGAGACAGTTTGTCAAGTTGCAAATAATACGTTTTTCAATCCATTTGCAGGTTCCGTTTGAAAAATATGCATATTTTACTAAAAGACATACCTAAACGTTTATATTGAGTGGGATATTGCATATTGTACAAGTTTCTATGCATTATCTAAACTGTTTAAGCTTTAAAGGTTGAGGGACTGTGGAGGACTGTTAAATCTGCACAAACATGGGGACGACATCCTAACTCCACACAGAAAGACCACAGGCAGAACTGATTCAAATCAAGACCATACAAGTTTTCTTTCTATTATTTTGATGTGAATAAAAAAAGCTGCTACGAAGGAGGGAATAGATATAAAAATATATTTAAACAATTCAAAATGTTGATGTATAAAGGGATATTTCAACATTGTACTGCAATGTTGTTTTTTTTGCATATTTGCAAAACCAAGAACTTCATAAATATTGCAAACTGTAAAATCAGTTTCCGTGGCAGAATATCAGTTGTTTGCTAACCCTAACCCTAACCTCCGGTGCATGTTGTTAAACTGTGGGTCACTCAGTCGTGTTTGCAAAAAACAACAGGTTTTAAAGAAAATCAATTTTTAAGACACTGACAACAGTGTAAACTAGCATTAACAGATTTATTTCATTTTTCTAAATGATATTATTTTCATGGCTAATCCGAGCTACAGATGTCACTTCATGATGACTTCAACAGAAACAAAGGTCACAGGTCATAGAAGACAAAGTGACATGTGATAACTGTCAAATCAATGCAGGGAGGAAATGATTTACAGGTGGGAGGAGAGTTTCAGGGTCTTTGTGTTTGAGGGGGATTATTGAGGTCTATCAACTCAGTCCGATCCCATCATGGCCCACATCAACACAGTCTGCTTCGTAACTTTACTGTGGGCGCTCGCTGCGTTTGGACAGGAATTCTTCGTAAGTATGAACGAAGCATGAGATCAGAGCCTTTGTCAAGATTTAAGAAGGAGTCAGGTTGATAGAGAACTGATTAATGTTTGATTTATTTGCAGGTCATCTCAGAGACAGACGACACTGGTGGTAAAGACCCTCTGAACTTTACTCAGATTGTAGTCAAACAAAGCTTTGACTGCATTAAACGTTTAACTATCTCTCTTTTTCCTCACAGATTATGGATATTACTATGATTATGCCACTGAGACTCCAGCAGGAGATTTTGATTTGACAGGTGATGACTGGTTGTACGACCTCCTGGATACCACAGGTACATTTCAAACAGCAACAGTGAGGGTTTGAGTTTGTCTCCTCTGTTAAGACGTATTGATCAACATCCCCTTTGACGAAGATTCAATCAATCGCACTTCGCTCCTGATTGATTTTGCTGAATCGTACCATCGATTGTTGGAACCAAACACGAGGCCTTCAAGCGTTAACGTGTAATTCCAACTCCTTTTAGATGAGTGTGATCCAAACCCGTGTCTGAACAGAGGCGCCTGTGAACACTCGGCTCTCGAGGGCTTCACGTGTTCATGCCCTGAACCCTACACAGGGAAGAAGTGTCAGAAAGGTATGAGGATGTCTGTCATTATATGTCCATATTCTTTATTGTGTTGGAAAGTAATTCAGAAGTTGTGTATTAACTAAAGCACTGTACTTAATTCTAATTAAGACTTTGATTCTTGTCTTTCTGGTTTCTGAGATTGAGACACATTGTTCTTTGAATTCAGCTTTTGAATTTTTGATGATTATCGTTTAAAATGAATATGAGCTGAATTAAATGAATGTTCCTTATTTTTCTTTTAAGTCAAAGACGTTTGCAGGAATGTGAAATGTGGCCACGGCAGCTGCGTCCTCACGTCCACTGCTCCCTTCTACGAGTGCAAGTGCAGACCTCCGTTCAGACCGCCCAACTGCAAGAAAGGTCTGGATCACACAGCTTTGCCGAATTATAAATGTGACATTAGCGATTTCTTACTGTATCCATATTTGTTGCGATAAGGTTGTTGGAGACATTGATTTGCGTTCACAGCTTCTCCCTGCCGACCCAATCCCTGTCAGAACGGAGGCTCCTGCATGAAGGGCCCCAGACACTCGTCCTTCCAGTGTTTCTGTCCTAACGGATACACTGGGAAATTCTGTGACGTGGGTAAATATAACTCTGTCCTCACATAGAAAACCTACATGTAAGAACCCAGAGTTTACTCGTACAGAGCGATTCAAAGTCAGCGTCCCTCTGTGCCTCCAGGTCCAGATGACTGTTACCAAAAGGACGGAGAGTTTTACCGCGGCATGGTGAGTGTGACTGCTGAGGGGGAGGAGTGTCTGGACTGGAACGCCTACTTCATCGTGCAGAACGGGGGGGATCCCTTCAAAGAGTACGCAGGCTTTGATGGAATTGGACCACACAACTACTGCAGGTGAGAGGTCGTCCTGTGTCAACACTGCTGATTGTGTGGGTTCATACCAAACTTTGTTTACTGATGCACCAGCATGAAATGACTTCCCAGGTAATAACGATGGAGGATTTTGTTTTGTTGCTCCATCCATCCCTCCTCCCGTTCATCTACCTGTCTGTCCCCCCATCCGTCCACCTGTCTGTTCATCTACTTGTCGACCTGTCCGTCTGTCCATCCATCCACCTGTCTGTCCATCCGTCCATCCGTCCACCTGCCTGTCCGTCCATCCACCTGTCCGTTAGTCCATCCAGAAAGACCCCTGGCTGGATTGGGGTTCTAACCCATCACTGTTTCGCAGTGAGGCAACAGTGCTGGCCACTTCACCGCCGTGCCGTCCCTTATTGCCATTCATTTAAATATAGTGGAGCTTTTTCATCCTTGTATTTAAAACTCTCTTTCTTCAAGGAACCCTGATGGAGATGATCAGCCCTGGTGCTTTATTAACAAAGATGGCAAACTGAAGTGGAACTATTGTAACGTCAGGAAATGTTCTGCAGGTGGAACACACACACACACACACACACACACACACACACACACACACACACACACACACACACTCTCTCTCTCTCTCTCTCTCTCCCTTCACTCCTCTCCTGATAAATGTATATTTTCCCTCTCAGTTCCAGCTACCATACCGACCATCCATGAAACAGACCCGACTCCAGCCAAACCGAGCGTCACTCCGGCTCAGTTCTCTCAGTGTGGAAGGCCCCAGCCCGGCCGCTCGTCCAGGATCTTTGGAGGGAGGAAGTCTCTTCCTGGGGCTCATCCATGGCAGGTTTCCCTGCAGACCAGAGCCAAAGGTTCCTCTGGACCGTTCAGCCACATCTGCGGCGGCATCCTCCTCGAGTCCTGCTGGGTCCTCACTGCTGCGCACTGCATGTAAGCTCCACTATCTGAGATATTTTTATACATGATATGGATGTGCATGGACACTGTGGTAAATTAACTCTGTCTGTCCAGTAAAAGTGAGGTGGAAATGCAGGTGGTGCTGGGAGGAGTGGACATAGAGAAGGATGAGGTATATGATCAGGTCATTCCTGTGGAGAGGGCCATAATGCACGAGGAATACAAGATGACTGCCTTTGCTCTTTATAATGATGTTGGTGAGGTGCTATAATAATTCCACATGAAAGCTGATTCTGTACTCTGTTCAATTTAATGCCAATAACGATGTGTGCGTCTCCTGTGCAGCCATGCTTCAGCTGAGAGTCACAGACTCACCGTACTGTGCCAAAGAGACACGCTTTGTGAAGACGGCCTGTCTGCCAGACCGGCCCTTCAGCAGTGGGACGGAGTGTGTGATCTCAGGATGGGGTGTGACTGAAACACGTGAGCATCATTTCAACCTGTGCAATCTCCTATAGGCTGAATGTGATCTGTTAATGGGGTCAGAGTTTGCAAATAGGTGAGTGAGTTTTCAGCCAGAATTAATCCAAGCACATCAGAGTTTACATAAAGCAGCTGGGTTGTGCAGAATAAGTCGTTTAAAGAGCAAAAATAGAAATAAAAATAGAATGTAAAAGCTGAGTTGAGAGATTAAACCAATAATCTTTCGAACCTTTGGCAGCTCGTGGAATTTCATCCAATTCCCCTTTGCTCATATCACGCATTTACATCGGGAAACAGGGTAATATATTTTGACTTACTAATTTCAATATGTGTTAAATCAATTACTGTACAGCCATGATTTTGTTTTATAAATGTCAGACAACAAATTACTGCAAAGAATATGAGTTAATTAGAGCTTCGACATCCACGAGATTGAAAAATAAGTGTGTGCATCAACATTCTGAAGTGATGCATTCAAATTCAAGGTGTGTAACCTATTTTACACAAAATATAGCAAACAGCTAAACATATGAGAAACATTTGCATCAACATGTGTATTAACTCTAGATTTACACAACTGACACAAAGGAAAATAAGATATCTTCTCCTGCATGCTTTTCTTTTTTAAAATCTGCATTTTAACTAAAGATGTCACTGGATGCATAAACTTGATAACGTCACATTCTCTCTTTTTCAGAGAAGTACGGTACCAACCAGCTGCTGGATGCTCGTGTTCTCCTGATCTCCCAGGACAAATGTAAATCCCCCCACGTGTACGGAGACTCTCTGGACGACAGCATGTTCTGTGCAGGCAACATGAACGGGGGAGTCGACTCCTGCCAGGTCTGTGCACGTGACACAACTGCTGTGATTAAAAAAGTAAGGAAAGTGAAAGACTGTTGTTAAAGCCTCTCTCTGTCTCGCTGCAGGGAGACTCCGGGGGCCCTCTGGTGTGCGAGCGGAACGGGACGCACTACGTTGTCGGCGTGGTGAGCTGGGGCGACGGCTGCGGCAAGAAGTACAAGCCTGGTGTCTACAGCAACGTGGCCAGATTCATCGACTGGATCGCTTATCATTTACTCTAAAAATAAGAATGACAAACGTGCTCTACTGCCTCCTGTACAGATAGAATCTAACTCCATAACAGTGACTTAGACCTCCATTACCTCATAGATACAGTATATATAACTCTTTTTACTCATGTCACTGTGGTAAAGTCACATTTCAGTCAGAAAACACAAGTTTGAAATATTTCAACTTTATCACTTACAAAGAGGGAAATGCAAATATGGTGAACGCCCGTGTTAGAGCCTGCAGGTGGATGCTGACGTGATTGAGCTGCCGAGCGATGCCGATGCACGGCCGCAGAGGCGTTGATAAGCAGAGGGAGTGATGGGAAATCGTCAAATTGGGAGTTCAAAGTGCAAGGGATTGTCATACTCTGTGATTATTGTCATGACTGGTTAGAGAGACTAAAAGGCTAAAATATGCATGTTTATTTTTACAATATGTTTTTAAAATAGTTTTTTAATTCACCGATGCAAATTTGTATTTTAACGGAAACAGTCTTGTCGCATAGTAATGATCCAGAGTTAATAAAAACAAACAGCAAGAAAAACAAAAGGTCTCATTTTTTTTAAATCAATAAATTTTACCCTGGAGAAAAAAATTCTCTTTGAATGTACATCAGCAGTTTTGCCCACATCTGACATTAGTTTTGTTTTAAACATGATTAGAGACACACCTCAGTGCAGAAAGGGTGGAGCAGCAGTTTATTTCCCAGACGGACACTGAAAGCAGTTACTGACACACTTATCTATACGTTACCTGGATGAGTTGCATGTGTGTGTTAATGCAAATGTCCGAATCGGTTGAACAAAAAACAGACTTTACACCGAACAAAGTCTATCCAGCCTGATTGAACCAATGTGCAAATAGATTGGTTGAAACTGGCTGAGGCCAGACAGAATTCAAATAAGATGGGATGACCTCATCGATGCATTAAAGGTCCAGTGTGTAAGATTTAGGTGAAAGGGAACTATTGGCAGAAATTTAATGTAGAATAATCCTCATGATGTTTTCACTAGTTCGTTTCCTCTAAATTGTATAAATTGTAATTTTCTTCACCCCAGAACAGGCCCTTTATATTTAAATACTTTATATTTACATCGAGGGGACCCTATCTATGGAGGCCGCCATGTTTTTTACATTAGTCCAGACTGAACTAAACATCTTTTGAGTTTTTATGACAACTGAAGTCTACCACAGTTTCTTTTTCATGTTTGGAAGGAGAGGGTGAGGTGAGGGGTGTTCAGCTGCAACATGCAACTTCAACACTAGATATCACAAATTCTACACACTGTACCTTTAACTAGCGTGTTGCCTTTTTGCAGTTTTCAGCCGTTATGGGGTGGCTGTGGCTGAGGGAAAGAGCGGTCGTCTTCCAACCAGAAGGTCGGCAGCTCAATCCCCAGTCTTCCCATCGTTCCTTGGGCAAGATGCTGAACCCCGAATTGCCCCATAGAACAAAAAAAGTGCTGCTAATAGATGCACTGTATGAATGTGTGTGTGAATGGGTGAATGGCAAACTGTAGTGTAATCATTTTGAGTTCAATCAACTGAGATGATGCAACATTTGCTTATAAAGAGTTTAAAGTCTGAATTTGTTTATCAGTCCATGGAGCAGAATAAGTAAGCAACCATCAAAACACACAAACTCTTCCAGGGAAATCAATGCAGCTGACTAAATATTGACATTGTATTAGGGACATGAAATGATATCTGCAGAAGTCACGAACTATGTTCTCTGCATCATTTTCACTTTTAATTTCAGAGAAATGCTCTGAAATTAAATAAAAACCTTTATCATTTAGATTTAATGGTTCTTTCACTTTCCTAAATGACTATTTGTTATTGTTTCTATCATTCACTGATGGTGAATAAAATCCTCTACACATGTGACTCTGTTTGTGTTGTGATATTAGCATGAGCCAACGCCCACTGAGAGTAACACTCTGCTTCTTCCTTCAGCAAATGTGACGTTTTGTACAGTGTAAACTTTATATGAAATACAAATATCATCTAATTGATAGAAATGTCCTGTTAACATTAATTCCCCAAAGTTGGTGGAGGGTCTCTTGTATGATCCTTTAATGCATCAGGATAAAGGATATAGTCAAGCTTAACGAGGGAGAGTGTCTGATCCCCACAATAATAAACCAAATGAAAATAAAAATGATCCTGAGTTAAATCAACTGAGAAGATGCTTTGTTTATAAAGAGTTTAAAGTCTGAATTTGTATATAAGTCCATGGGAGCAGAATAAGTAAGCAACCACCCAAACACACAAACTCCTCCAGAGAAATCGATGCAGCTGGCTAAAGATTGACAAGTGTGGGTTATAAAGGATATCAAGGCGGATTAAAGTCAAAGCCCGGATCACCAGAAGTTTACAGTGAGAGAGTTTCAGTGTATTCTGCACCATGCTGGCTGCAGGGGTCCTGTTCTTGACCCTCAGTGTTCTAACAGTCCACGGAAATGAGACGGCTGTAAGTTTCTTTCTTTCTCTGTGAATAAATGAGCCAGGGTGAGTTCGAGTCTTGTAACGAGAAATCTGTTTTTCTTCTGTGATCTTGTCATTTCAGCTGGACACATCATGTAAGACGTCTTTCTACAGCTGATCTATGTGGTGACGATGATCTTGAAATGTGACATATTTTATTTACTCATTCTTCAAACTTAAAAATCTTGAGGTGAAACAGCATCTTAAAATCGTAAAGTTTCTTTTTATGTTTTCTCTTCTTCTATCCTGAATCTCACCATTCTACGGTACCTGCTTGTACGCTCACTCTCTGTTCTTTGCAGACATATATTATGGAGACGAACCCACAGCCTCGCCAGGAATTTTGCTCTATGATAACGACTGGTTGTTCGACCTCCTGGATGAGTCCAGTAAGTGGCCCCCCCAGGGGACCGTGTTTCCATCTCAGTCTTCAACATTCGAGGTTTTGAATCCTTTCTTGTTCTTTCCAGATGTTTGTGATCCAAACCCGTGCTTCAATGGCGGCTCGTGCCAACATAATTCAGATACAGAGTTTCAATGCTACTGTGTTGAGCCTTTCACCGGCAAGAGGTGTCAGAGAGGTAGGAATCTCCAGGGTTGTCTTCATGAGTGCAAAGCTCACACATGTACGTATGAATCAGTGGCTTTCTGATTCCTCTGACTTCTTTTTCTCTTCAGTGAGAAACATCTGTGCAAATGTGACCTGTGGTCACGGTGAGTGCGTCATCAACCTCAACAAACACCCATTTCACGAATGCAACTGCAGACCCCCATACCAAGGGCCCGACTGCACGTTATGTGAGTACTCTGACCCCTTTTGCGCCATTCAAAATTATTCAAACTCATTTTTTACAAATGGCGTCAGTAAACTCAGACTATCCTCCAATAATGGACTGATAGTACATCCTTGGAGTAGTTAGACTTAAATTGGCATAACTCGTTATCCAGCCAATAATATATACAGGGCAAGATTCAAATGTCCAAATCTTTAAATGCAGATTTTAACCTAAAATGTCACGTCCCGCAGCATTAAAGCATCAGTGGCAAGAACACATGTTCACATGTAATCAGGTGACATGAGGTGATGACTGTGAGAGAAGGCAAAAACAAATAAATGAATAAAGGAACTGGTGGACAATGTCCTTTGAGCGCCCCTAAACCTCTTAACTACGCCCCTGCTCGTGTATGTTTGGTTTGTCTTGTCTGTGTCAGTGCCAGAATCTGCCTGTGAGCCCAACCCCTGCCAGAACGGAGGCTCCTGCATCCAAGGGGAACGGCGCTACCGCTGCTCCTGTCCTGATGGATTCACGGGGAGGTTCTGCAGGACTGGTAAAATACTTTTTAAAAGACAGACTTTGTTTAAGTTTTTGTTGGCATTTACTTCAAATACAAGACATGTATTTTTTACATTTTTTTTTACATATCATTATTATTATTATTATACAACACTGCACTTGTGTGTTTATTTTTTAGATGTGTGCCAAATTTAAAATTTTCTTCTGATACAATTTTTTTCCACAGCTCCGACTGACTGTTACTCTGAGAATGGAGAGACGTACAGGGGAGTTGTCAGTACCACGGAGGACGGGATGGATTGTCTGGACTGGGATTCCAATTTAATCTATATGGAAATGGGCCCTATTGTCAGCCTTTTCCCAGAAACCAGTGGACTGGAAGAGAACTACTGCAGGTCACAGCGCACATCATTTAACCACCATACATTTCAGTATTGTGTGTAATTTAGATCTTTTAAACTTTATACCTCTCAAAAGAATCTCCTTTTATTATTTACTATATTAAAACAACACTATGCAGCTTCTTTACCTGAAAACAGCAGCTTCAAAATTACTTTGTTGATTTGCTGACTTGGAAAGAAGATTCCTGTTTCGTTCCCTCTCCTCGTCCAGAACATCTTTTCTTGCTCCATGTAATTTTTTTGAGAAAGTCACTGATGATGATTGAAAAGACTTTAAGAAAAGTCATTAAAACCATCATTTATCTCCAATTTACAGCAAGGAAACTTTTAAAATATGAAGAGTTCTGAACAGAGTTTGGTGGATTTTACAGCAGCAGCTCATCCAATATACAGGAAACTGGGGATTGTGGGTAATATCCACCGTTCGGTTGTGTTTCAGTTCAGTGAGAACAGCCAGACGGTCACATCATTACGTCTGGCTGCAGAGGGCGCTGTTGCCCAGTGAATAGTGTTCCTTTAAGCTTATTCAAATTTGTAAACAAAACCTATATCGTAGTTTTTTGGTTTCCTCTTCGTTTCAGGAACCCGGACAGAGATGAGAGGCCTTGGTGTTTTTACAGAAAGGGAACTAAACTGCAGTGGGAATACTGCAACGTCAAGGAATGCCCTGAAGGTGACTGCTCTATCTCTCTCTCTCTCTCACACACACACACACACACACACACACACAGACATGCTCTATACTTGTGTGTCCATGTTGTCTTCACTCCTCTGTGGTTCCTGCAGATCAAGTCACTCCACCTGCGACAGTCGAACCAGACACAGACTCCACCCAGTTCTCCCAGTGTGGAATATCTCCGCTCCCTCTGCCCTCTTCACCATCTTGCATCAGCAGGATCCATTGTGGCAATAAGCCTCCACGCGGATCCATCCCCTGGCAGGTGTCTGTGCAGACAAGACCCAAGGGTTCACCCTTTCGGTATAAACACTGGTGTGGTGGGATCCTGATCTCGTCCTGCTGGGTCCTCACCGCCGCCCACTGTCTGTACGTTCTGGATTTGGTTTGCATGCCATTTGAAGTGTATTCATTTTGTCTTTGTCATTTTTCACAATTTGTCTTATTTCCCCCCCCCCCCAGTGAACCAGGAAGTGAATACCAGGTGGTGTTGGGAGGAGCGAACATAGACAAGATGGAGGAGATGGATCAGATCATCCCAGTCATACAAACTATTAAACACGAGAACTTCACTTATTCTTCTCAAATACCGCACAATGACATTGGTTTGTCACATCATTCAAATAAAGAGTATATTCTTAATCTAGATAAATCATAAACCATATTAATTAAGTGATATCATGATTTGTCTCTTTGTTTCGTAGTTTAATTTGATTAAATAATGAATAATTCCTTTTGACTGTATTTATATTATTTCACCCAGAATGTCACAATATGATCTTTCTTTCGAATGATAACATTCAAGGATTAGAAAATTATGTTTTATGGAAAAGTCATTTTGATGAGTTTATAAATCAAATGATTAATGTCACTTTACTGTTTGTGCAGCTCTGCTTCAACTCAAAGTCCTGGACAGTCCTTACTGTGCGAAGGAGACAGAGTTTGTGAGGACCGCGTGTTTACCAGAGCAGGATTTCCCACCTGGAAAGCAGTGTATGATCTCAGGATGGGGAGCCACCGAAAACAGTAAAGACATATTCATTAAAAGTCCTTTCATGTCATGTGGAAAGACAAAAAATAACATTTTCTTAAAGGTCTAATGTGTAGGATTTATGGGGATCTATTGGCAGAAATGAAATATTACATACAGAACTGCAGTGCAGTGTGGACAGGCAAAAACAGAGATATTTGAAAATGGTTTTGATTCTTCTACCTGCTTGGGATGGGAGACGAGGGATATTCAATTGGTTGCGACATACAACTTCACAGCTAGATGCCACTAAATCCCACACACGAAGGCTTTAATGCATTTGCTCTTCAGGAAAACCTTGAAACTTGTATTGATTGAATCCTGCAACACTTTCTAGCCAGTTTAAATGTTCACATTCCTCAGCCAATTTATTTCTCGATAAAAATGTTCCTTTGCTCTTATCAGAGACGCTCAGCAGCCAGCTGTTGAATGCTCGTGTTTTGCTGATACCTGAAAGGAAATGCAGTGCACCTCATGTCTATGGAACTTTACTGGACGACAGCATGCTGTGTGCAGGGACTCTGAAGGGAGGCGTTGATGCCTGTCAGGTGAGTGTTTTCATAATGGTGCGGCATGAGAATTGTTATTTCTAAGTATGAAATTCAAACTATATGATGTACATCCGTGTTTTTAGAGTAGATTGTTGGCATCTGACACTGGATCATATATATTCTCTACAGAAAATATTATATTCCTAACTTTCTGTAACTCTACAGGGTGACTCAGGCGGCCCGCTGGTGTGTGAGCAAAATGGCACACAGTACGTCACTGGTGTGGTGAGCTGGGGCGATGGCTGCGGTCGGAAGAACAAGCCTGGTGTCTACACCAATGTGCTCCAGTTCCTCACCTGGATTAAAAGCAAGATCAGCAGAGCGTGAATCAATTGAGCTGAGAAGTCGGAGAAAGTACTTTAGGAAGAAAATGAGACGACAGCTTAGTTTGCCTTGAAAAAACAAAAAAACAGTTTATTGTATCAGCGATAAAACCAAGCGTTTACTCTGAGTCCAGCTTTGAGTCAAAAGAAGCACCGTTATAAACTCACAAAGCTGAACCTGCCAGACAAAATGGAGATCACACATCTTTTCAGTAGGACTGTACTTCTCTCTCACTGAGTCTAGCTCAACGTCCACCAGATGATCAAACCTGCAACAAGGCTCTGTCTGTGCCCTCTCCACTTAGAACTTACAGCATTCGTTTTTTTCTCTAAAGATAAAAAGGCCACTGATGTCTGGTCCAGCTCCTTCTCCTCTTCTTAACACTCTTGATATACAAAGGCAACAACAAACTTTCCATCCAACAATTCCCACAGTAACACCTCTGCTCTGAAACAGTATTGTTTGTATTCTTCAACTGAAAACTGTCTGTGGAGACACTTTGATGATCAACTGTCACCTCAAGCTTGAATGAAAATAAAGGTGTTTTTTCCTGAATTCCCTTTTGTTCACCACATACTTTATCCATCCTTTTCATAACATACATGACGAGGCCTGTCCTGATTCAACATGCTTATCCCCTTCTTCATCATCTCAACCATATTTCACAGATAATTGTTGCACATACAGTGTTTGACAATGGTTTGGCATCTCATGTAACTAGACTACAAAAGGTCATTTCAACAAAACACCACCTGACAAGAGAACCACTCAGTAAAGTTCACCTCCTGAGAGTGGTTGTCTTTAACAAGCTCTAACGTATATAAAACGCGACAGATCTACGCGTCTTCTATCGCAGCAGCTTTACTGGACGACAGAGCCGTCCTCACTGTGTTCTGGAGAGCTGTTGACGAGGTGGCGCTGGACTTCTTCTCCATGGACTTGAACGAGGTCGTGGTGGTGGAGGACTTTTTCTGCACGGCCTGAATGGTCTTCTTCCTCTTGACGTGAAGCACCTCCATGGCGTCCATGTTGATGCCCTGTTGTATCTCCTCGCTCGTCTCCATCTGCTCTGATGCCTGATGCTCATGCTGTTCTTCCATCTGTTGCTGGTGATGCACCTGAAAGAAGAAAATCTCATTTTTGAAACTTGCACACAGTGACGTTGCAACAGAGGTGGCAAAGTAGGCAATCCTCAGGGGCCCCCTAGCTGAGAGGAGGATTTACATTAGTCCACAACAATGACAATTTTGGAAGATTTATTAAATTCTATGATCGCCTCTGTACTGGAGGCCACAATGACAGCATGGTCGGAAATCACCTAACAAGGCCCAATATAAGGTCCCCCTTTTTCCTGGAACACTCCTGCCTGCATGCACACACATCCACAGTAAATGTCTAGAATCCATCTTCCATGTTCTCTCACCATCATCATCATGTGCTGATACTTTGCGATGGCTTCCTCTGTGCTGACCCCCTCGGCAAATCCCAGCTCTGCAGCTCGCCGGGCGAGCTCGACCTTGTGGGAGCCGGGAGGGGTCCAGCCCGCTCCTCTGATCCAGTTCAGGTCTGATTTGTAGTTCACCTACAACAAGATTGAGCAACAGTTAGAGTTCAACCTCACAGGACTCAAATCTGTGAAGGACAAATACATGTACTTGGATGCAGTGCTGTAATCCTCCCGACATATATCAACTTAAAGTCAATTCAACTGTTTGGGAGACCTGGAGCAAAATGTGCTGTGGGCTTCTATTTTATTACTTTCTAGCTTTAAAATAAATAATCTGATGTGACTTACATCGCTCTGCAGCTTGTAGGCCTGCTTGGCGTGCTTGACGTTGAGCTGCTCAGGGTCACAGGTGTAGTCGTGGAGCTTGCGGCGGTAGGTGAGGTCGCTGGCCTGAGCCTGGCTCTTCTTGGCCAGCAAGAACTCGGGCTGGTCGCCGTGGATCTTGAAGTGGCCGTGGTCCTCCTTGGACTGGCGTTTGTACTCCAGGTTGCTCTGGAGTTTGCTGGCTGCCAGAGAATGCACCATCTTGGGGTCGTCCTCCACGCAGAGCAGCCCCACCTGCTGGCCCTTCTCTTTGTGATGGGACTCCTTGTAACGGAACTGTTGGGGGGAGAAAAGTAAAAAATAAAAGGTGCATATAAAAGCTGATGAATCCCAATTTGCGACTCTGAACTGACAAACTGAACTCACGTCACTGGCGATTTCTCTGGAGGCCTTGGCAGTTTGGAAAGGAATGGCATCCAGCCTCAGGTCGTAGCCCAACGTCTTCACCTGCTCCCCAGACGCCTTGTACACTTTCTTCATGGGAAAAAGAAATAAGATATTGGTGTCTTTTCACGTAAAGTTATTTTGCTTGTATTTAGGATCGTGAGAAGCATTTCAGGAGCAGCTTACATCACTAATCTGCTGGGCGTTCATCTTGGCTCTCACAAAGTCTGGATCGTCTGAGTGTAAGGTGTATTTGTGCATGTCGTCATCCTTCCCTGATTTGTAAAGCCTCTGCAGTCGACAGAAGACACGAGCAGGACATTAACAACAGCCACATGTTTTTGATTTACACATTAAATAACAGTGACAAGTGAAGTAAATGTATTTGTTCTAGATGCTAGTGTTGTACCTCACTGCACTGTTGATAGCTCGTCTTGGCATGGACGATATCAGGAGAGTCGGCCACTGAGGTAAACTTCAGACTGTCAGGCAGCTGACGATACTTCTTCTGCACGAAGGAAGACGACATAAACTTAACAGCAGGAAATAGAAACAGCTGAGACTTGTGTCATCGAAGACGTTTAGATTTAGACCTTCATTATAACATTTACCAAGTAGACAAAAAATGATGAATACATATACATGTACTGTATACATATACTCACATCACTTATAAGATCTCCAGCTTTCTTGGCCGACTCCATCTGAGGTGCACCCACTCCGTCCCAAGCCACTCCTTTCATGAAATTGAGGTCTGACTTGTATTGGTTCTAGACACAAGTCAAAAACGTTTGTACGTCAGTAGTTCGTCTTATAAACATCGTTTCTCATCTTTTCTCACTACATCTCGTCCTCTCACCTGCCTCTGCAGGTCATACGCCTTCTTGGCCCATTTGACCTTCATGTCATCAGGGAGCACCGTGTACTCGTGCAGCCTCGTCCTGTAGTCCTGTTCGCTGGCCAAGGACTGGGCGTTCTTAGCCGTCACCAGGTGAATCATGTCGGGGGTGAGGTGGTACTGACCACTGGTGATCAGCGCGTCCCTGCGGTACTCCTGGTCGCTGGCCAGACGGCCGGCCTGCCGGCAGTGAAGGAGGAGTGGGTCGTCCAGGGCGCTTTTGATGCCGATGTGTTTGCCTTTGTCCAGCACGTGGTTGTGTTTGTACATGTACTGCAGAGAGGCAGAAGGTGTAGCTGTAGTTAATATCGGTTTTAAAAGGTTGTAGTTTGTTGTGGTGTTATATTTTTTGCATAGTCTCTGGATATTTTCACTATTTGGGTGTGTTCAGTGACATAGTTTGTTTCTCACATCACTGGCGATGCCTGTGGAGCTCTTGGCAGCCTGGAAGGGGATGTCCTGCATGGTGAGTTTGTAGCCCTGAGCCCTCAGCGTGTGCCAGGACTCTCTGTACTTGATCTGCAGCAGAGAGACAAAGAGCAAATCATCGTTAACCTCGGAGACAAGTCGCAGGTGTTTGGGAGTCACAGGAAGTAAGAGTACCTCGCTGAAGTTGGCTGCGTTGATCTTGGCCTGGGTGATCTCTGGTCTCTCAGACGTCATAGTGTAGTTGTGTTGGTCGTTCACACCTTTCTCTTTGTACAAACGCTGGGAGGGACACGTAAAACACATTTCCTTAATGTGATTATCAGTATTTCTAAAGCGTCCAGAGATTTTTGTAAGGAATATGTCATCAAAAACAACAAGATAGGAAAAACGGAAGGAAAGTTTACGAGAGTAGAGAGGTTTATTGTCTCACTTCATTTGCGATCTGTCCGCTGAGTTTGGCGTGGACGATATCTGGAGAGTCTGCCACAGACGTGTGCTTGAAGTTGTACGGCTGCTGACGGTACTTTTTCTGTGGCAGAAGAAACAACTGAGTCAGTCCCTGTTACGTTTCAGTAGATCTACATTTAGACCATGTATTCTGAACAAGGTGATTATTCATCAAAATCCAGAAATATGACAACACAAGATTACTGTATGTCCCGTAGATTTGGACCATGCAGGCAGCTCATAGTGCTGTATGTGCACTTACAATGATAAAATGAAAAAATCAAACAAAGCAGAGGATGTCTCACATCACTGATGAGGTCTGTGGCCCTCTTGGAGCCTTCGATCTGCAGGGCCCCTGTGGCGATCCACGCTGCACCGCGCAGGTAGTTCAGGTCAGAGCGGTAAACTTTCTGTGACAAACACATACATCAAAAACACACATTTTTTAATAATAAGAAAAACTATTTAGATGTAACATTCAAAAATACAATGTGGTGCTTCTTAAAACATTGAAGAAAACATGAAAAAGCAAAATCACACACATTTCAACCAAGAAACTAAGTAGACCCTGAGACTCTTTGAGACTAATTTGTAAATCACTTGAGTTTAATTTAAGATCAGAGTAATTATAACAGACATTGTCCCGTCCCTCTCACCTCACTCTGCAGAGCGTACGCTTTCTTGGCTGCCTGCACCTTCATGTCGTCAGGCAGTGACGTGTACTGATGCAGGGTGAGTCTGTAGTCCTGATCGCTGACCAGCGACTGAGCCTTTTTCGCGTGGGCCACCTCTATCATGTCCATAGGCAGATGAAACTTTGAGAGCTGCTTCGCCGAATCCTGCTTGTATTTAATCTGTAAGAGACAAACGGTTATGATAAAGTTATTTGTTAGTCGTGCTGCTCTGTCTCAATATATTTATCAGCTAAGTTAGAATTAAAACTCACATCACTGTGCAGCTTGGTGGCCTGGACAGAGTGAGAGATGTTCAAATCATCCTGCAGCCCCTTCAGCCCGATCATCTTCCCTTTAGTCCTCTCAAATTCCTCTTTGTACTTTTGCTGAAATGACAGTGACACAAACTTTCTGATAAATAAAACGAATCTGCAATTTTAAGTCAATAGAAACGCCAATGCCTAAATTGGTATTTTTCCGTGGGTGTCATTTCTTTAAGTATCTATAAATGCTTCCTGTCTCTAAGATCTGTATAACCTAAGCTAGAAGGAAACGTAAATAAACCATAAGAAATGACAAAAAGAGAAGTTGTGTGATAAATAAAAAGAACTAAACTAAACAAAAGAACACTCCATGAGTTAATATTTGAAATATGTAAATCTTTTTGTTTTTGAGATATCTCTGCTCCTGCCACTCTTTGACGCCACCATGTGTTATCAACAGGTTTTCTGTGGTGGAAGACAGAGGCCTTGTCTTTCTGCTGCAGGAAGAACGAATGCTCAATCTAGTTTTCCACTGCTTCTTTTCATGTTACTTTTCAGGCCGTGGTGAAAATGATGTTTATCTAATGAGATCTTACATCGCTGAGGATCTCTGCAGATATTTTGGCAGATTGGAAAGGGATGGCATCCAGCCGCAGCTTGTAGCCGCCATCACGTATCTTAGTCCACGACTCCTTGTAGCGGCTCTGAAAACACACACATAAATAAAATCAGTTCCACACGGTAACACACCTTGTTCATGTGTGGGTTTTAAAAACTTGTTTTCACCTCACTGATGTTCATGGCGTTGAGTTTGGCCTGCACCATCTCAGGCAGCTCTCCACTGAGGGTGTAGTTGTGCTTCAGGTTTTCACCCTTCTCCCTGTACAACCTCTGTCAAAGGAGAAAGCAGGTGTTGTAACTCAGGCTGCAGTAGATTATAAACTATTTCTATATGTTTACGATGGTCAGCTCACAGCAAGAAGGTTCCTGGGTCAAATCCCTGGTTTGGCTGTGGAGATTGGCTCCAGACGAACCATTATCACTCACATTCACACATATGATAAATTTAGAGTTTCCAATTAATCTGACCCCAATCTGCATGACAAACATGCAAACTTGACCCAGGACGAGCGGACACCCAGACCTGGAACCTTCTTTCTGTGAGGCGACAGTGCTGCCCACTGCACCTCCATGCTGCCCTGCATAAGATATAAATGACCGAGAGCACTGATGAAACTTGAGCTTACATCAATGGCCAGTTTGTTGCTGAGTTTGGCTTGGACCATCTCTGGGGTGTTTTCGACACTGGTGAACTTCACAGCGCTCGCGTCCTGGCGGTACTTTTTCTACAGGACAAAAATAAAATAATATAACAGAGGAATCAAGAGACTCACGGTGAGATAGAGCCATGAAAAACTGGCGGTATCACAAACTATAGAAATACACTATGCAACAAATTGGAAAAAACAAAAGTTTAATTATAGAAACACATACATAGACATGGAGAGACTGAAGGATGAACTTGAGGCTCTGATTCTATTTGTGTTCACTCTGTCATTTCATGGTCTAATGTTGGGGGCGCTGAGCGGAATGACCCTCAAAATAAGTGGCTGCTTATGAGAGGGTTATGAATAGAGCCTGGTGTTATATACCTACTCCTCACTAGGTATGTACCGTTTACAAGTATTGCAAGTGTTTAGGAAAAGAGTCCATGTAAAGGGTGTCTGATTTTAAAACAGTTAAAGTCATATCAAATGACTATATGAGTTAAATATGAATTCATTATAATTCAATATGTTTTTCGGGGGTTGGGAAGTGTCTGTAACACAGCCGCTGGTTTCCTGTGTGGACATTGTGCAGCAGGAATATCTGCAGACCAACAAGTTTTGAGGAAACTGGACACTCGGCTTTATGGAGATGCCTCACAGCGTTCCCTCCGATGGTCTGGATGGCCCGAATAACAGAGACGTCGCTGCACTGTGTGGCCCCACAAACTGAATAAATGTGATAAAAAGGAAAACTGAATCCAAATGAATGAAGTATATATCTATTTCAGTCCGACCTCTTGTTAGAGCTGCGGCGTCGTCCACACACTTGACCCAGTTTCCAGAGAACTCGAATCATCCGCAGCTCTTTAAATACATTCTGACCTCAGCTGTAAACCTAGATATGCGACATGTTACACAATCACGCTTATCACTTTCTCTGTGCTAATGTCGCCACATATTTCTCATAGTTATGAACACTTAATCATATGGGAAAATATTACACTTGTGGCTTAACCACAGCAACTAATTTCACCAATGCATGCTGGGTGACGGGGTCGGAGGTTACCTCGCTGACGAGCGCTCCGGCTTTCTTCGCCTGCTGGACGTCCAGAGACTGCGAGGCCTCCCAGCCAACGCCCTTCATCCAGTTCAGATCGGACCTGTACTGATTCTAAAGACACGCGTCCACCAGAGCGTTTTCAATCTCAAACTGCAATTTGCACGAGACAAATCCCCATAAAAGAAGCTGTTATTCAAACGATGACACTTACATCGCTCTGCAGTCCGTAGGCTTTCTTAGCCCAGGCCACGTTCATGTCAGTGGGCAGCGTAGTGTACTCGTGGAGGAACGTCCTGTAGTTGGTCTCGGTCGCCAGGTCTTGAGCCTTCTTCGCGTGGCTGATGTTCAGCATGTCCAGAGAAACACTGAGGAGGAGATTCATTGTGAGTGAGGAGTTGATGATTTAAAGGATTTGAGACACAAGTTGTCCAACTCACTTGAATTGGTTCTTCGTGTCCTCGTAGTTCTGTTTGTAGTGGCGGCCGCTCTGCAGTTTGGTGGCCAGAGCAGAATGGGCCATCTGAGAGTCGTCACTGACAGACTTAATACCAATCACCTTGCCTTTGTTCTTCTCATATTTCTCCTTGTATTTGACCTGTAAAATAAACGATCCAACCAAAAAGCAAGTTTACTTCTCTGGTTATGTACTAAACTGCAAGATTGCATTTCAAAAGTAGAAAATGCATTATTGCATAAATAAAAAATAAATGTCTCTAAGGGTCAATCTTATAGAGAGTTGGTTTTTTTTGAATAACTCACGTCACTGGCCAGGTCCCTCTTGGCCCTGGCGGTGAGAATAGAGAGAGAGTCCAGACGCAGCTCAAAGCCTTTTTCTCTTTGCTTCTCCCATTTGCTCTTGTACACTTTCTAGAAAAATACATTCAGAGTCACCTAACATGTATAGCAAGTAGAAAGTTATGAAAACATATATCAAAAAGTTCTGAAGAAATTTAGGGAGATACTATTCAAACTGTACTGTGATACATAATGAAGCTCTTGTATTTGCCGGTGTCGTCACTGAACGTACCCCACTGAGAAGGTCAGCGTTCGCCTTTGCTTGCCTGAACAGCGGCTCGTCCTTTGTCATGGTGTACTGGTGCATCATCTGCTCTGTGTTTGCTTTGTACGCCAGCTGGAAATCAGACACAGATAGACAAATGTATTTATGTATAAAGTGAGCATGCACCATACATGACTTGGAGGTGCAGCTCTGGAGTGAAGACCTTACGTCGCTCTGCAGCTCTTGGCTCTTCTTGGCATGTTTGATGGAGAGGTCGTCCGCCACATGGGTGAACCTGATGCTGTCGGCCTTCTGACGATATTTATTCTGAAAAGCAAAGACGATAGATAAGCAGTGTGTCTATTACATTAATAAGCACATACGAGTGATAATTGCACTGACATCACTGAGCTGCTCTCCAGCTTTCTTGGCCTGGGTTATGTTCAAACATCCTTCAGTCTCCCAGCCCACTCCCTTCATCCAGTTCAGGTCTGAGCGATACTGGTTCTGCAGAGCAAAGTATAAAAGAATCATTAACCTGGTAATATTTACTATTGATGATATAAATCACAGAGGGGGGTTCATCCCTTCCTCCTGTCTCTTACCTCACTCTGCAGGGAATAAGCCTTTTTAGCCTGCTGGACCTTGATGTCATCCGGCATGACGGTGTAATCGTGGAGCTTTGTGCGATACTCCAGGTCGCTGGCGAGGGCCTGAGCCTTCTTGGCGTGGCTCAGGTTGATCATGTCCATGGGAAGCGTGTACTGGGCCTGGTTCTCCTTGGAGCCCTTCTTGTATTCAATCTGAAGTGGTAAACGATTTAAAAAAAGATGAGTGTGAATATCTTGTTGGAAAATATTGATCTTGTAATCACTCATGAAAATAACTCACATCGCTGCTCATCTTGGCTACTTGAAGTGAGTGCAGAGTCCTGGAGTCGCTCATGTTGACCCCCACTGCCTGGTCCTTGTTCTTCATGTAGCTCTCTTTGTATTTAATCTGAAACACATACCAACCTGACTTAATTTAATTTGCCTGCTATTACACCCGATTAAACCCACTTAGCTTTAGGCTCAACCCCCGTCAGATTATATCTACTTGTAGTGGAAAGGCGCGTGTGTTTGCTTACATCACTGGCGAGGTCTCGGGACGCTTTGGCCGCTCTGACGCTCAGGTCGTCCATGCCGATGTCACAGGCCTTAGATTTGGACTTCTCCCACTCCTCCTTATATTTAATCTGGAGTGATGAATGTGGATTGTCAGATTTATGGGAAGCAATTTGCTGTGACTATGTGAATTGATTTGTGTGCATGTGTGTGTGAATTAGTGTGAACACAGGCTTGTGCATGCAAGTGTGAGAAGGTGTCTGCTAACTTACATCGCTGCACAGAGCAGCATTGGCTTTGGCGTTTTTGATTTGGGGCAGATCCTGGGACAGTGTGTACTGGTGCTTTGTCTTTTCATAGCCTGCTTTGTAATTCAGCTAAAGGACACATGAGTTACAGTCAGCTCAGGGCTCATAAGTGCTCATAAAGTGCTGAGGAGGGTGGTGTTAATCAAACCGCTCACCATCACTGGAACTACATATTTTCATTATTGTTTTACTCACGTTGCTGACGAGCTGAGCGTTTTTCCTCGCCAGAATAATCTCAGGTGTGTCCGTCACTGGACTGTACTTGACCTGGTCGATGTGCTGCCTGTAGTTCTTCTGCAGCCACAAAGGAAAAAATGTTTGTAATAAACCAAGCAGACTTTTGTAATGTTAAAAATTACAGCTGAGGTGAACTCACGTCTTTCAGTGGGTCAAGCTTCCTTTGGCTTTGGTAGCCTGGTGTGAGGGTGGCTGGGTAGTTGTATTCACCTTGCTCCTGTTCACAGCCTTGTTTGTAAGAAATCTATAATGTACAAGAAGATCATGTCCTTGAAAT